CTGCTCAAAGAGCAGGTGTAGTTATGAACAGCTTTGTGTGATGTGCCAGTTGCACTTGTTCCTAGATCAGGAGACTGCTTATGGTCATTCATGTCCTGTATCCTGTTAACTCCTCAATGGACTCATGTAACGTGTTCTACATGGAGCTGCCCTTAAAAGAGTATCTGGAAGTTATGAATGTGCTATCATTTCTATGACTTTTTTTTTTTGCCCATGAGACAGATGTCTTGATTCATATCTCCAGTAAGCCATGAAAAACTGTTAAAATAATGTTATTATTCTTATTAACAGCAGAATTGGCAAGGTCATTTGGATGGCAAGGAGTCTATAATGGAGGATGGAACTGAGCATTAAGTAGATTCTCTCTGGAATTATTAAAGGTTCCCATCCTTGGAAATAAACAGTGGTTTTTCAACCAAATATACAAGGAACATCATTTAAATTCTACATCATGTATTTGATTCAGCATATTGCATTTGATTCATGTTTCATTGATGGTATGAGGACTTCTGCTTTGGGCGTGTGTGGGGTGGACTAGAATACCTCCAAGGTCCTTTCTAGCACTATGATTCTATGATACTTGTCCATTAACTTGGAAGAGAATACTTGTGTTAGGTATAGATAATCTTTGACTTATGATCCTAATTGAGCCCAGAATCATGGCCATAAATCATGATGGTCATTAAGCAAGCCATAATGTGACTAGCCTGATTTTATAACATTTTTTTATGATGATCATTAAGTGAATCCATGGTTGTTAAGCAAACATCTCAGTCATTAAGCAAACCCATTGTCAACAATGGGGGTTGGCTGGAAACCAGAAGTAAATGCTGGTTTCTTTCGGGCATAAGCAGACCCAGATTTGAAGAGTTTAAACTAGCAATCTTATTATTCTATTGCCTATTTCACAGGATTCTTCCAAGATGGGCAGTTCATCCCTGAGAAAGATTAGATAAGATTCAACAGCATTGGCGGGGAGGGCATGGTTGGACCTTGATCTTTTGTTTCTATGTAAGAATTGCAGACTAATCCCCTGTTGGACCCCACCTCCTAACAGGAACAGTCTCTCTCTCTGACAGTTTCTGTCAACAACAACAACAACAACAACAACAAGAATAGCAATAGCAGCAGCAGCAACAACAACAACATCACAGTTACGTGGCTGTGGGGTGCTGTAAAGGACTGAAAATATGGGTCAGACGCCAAGCACCCCAAATGCAAATGCAAACATGGGAGAGAGTGGCTATTAGAACTTTGAATCTGGATTGTATCTATTTTTGGCTCCATCTTAATTCTCCATCTTAGTCAAGACCTCCTGCAATATCCTCCTAGACCACATGAAAAAAATACTGATCCATAAAGCATGCAAATACATTCATATAGACAACTAGCTTGTCAGATCTATATCTTAACCATGGGTATCCTTTTGCCTTTCCTGGGCCACTTTGAATGAAGAGGAATTGTCTTGGGGTACATATAATATATATTATAGTTAAGGTATATAAATCACATAATAATGTTAAAAAAATATGAACTTGTGAGGCCACATCTAATGTCCAGGCCACATGCAGGCCATGGGTCACGGGTTGGACATGCCTGATCTAAACCTTTCTTCCTGATTTGCTCCTTTTTATTCCTCAGCATTTTATTTACAGACAAAGGGAAGCACTTTTTACACAGTACAGAGCTACCAGGTAGAATTCATTGCAAGATGCAGAGATAGTTACTAACTTGGATGGCTTTAAAGGGGGACTGGATAAATTCACAGAGGTCAAGTTTGTCAAGAGTTATTAGACTTTAGACTCATACTTCAAGATCAAAAACAGTTCTTCTGCTTGTGGAGACCTCAGAGGCATCTCTGAGAAACAAAATGGTACATTAAGAGGGGCTTGGCCTGATCCAGTAAGGCCAATCTTATGCTACTATGTTTTTATGCTCTTATTTCCTGATATAAAAGCACATTCAGTCAGGCGAGTCCTCAATTACACCTTCAAATGGTAGAGCCCAAGATATGAGTTCTCTCTCCCGTAGTCACATTATTTCCCATTCTTCACTTTGTGTACCACACATTCCTGGTCTTGTGAATTTGCATGGATCAGTAGCACAAAAAGATTAAGAAAAAATACATTCTTATGGGATCCCTTAATGCTCCTTTTGTTCAAAATCTACTCAATTACTTCTTTTGAACAGGGAATATGTCTGAGACTAGAATCCCTTTTTAAAAGTATATTACCTTTGTTATTCTAATAAGCTTCGTTGCCTTTTAAAATGTATAAAATCCCCCCATCTTTAGCTCAAATGGCTTAGGTTAATAAATGAATGAAGCTTAAAGGAAGGAAAACAGAAATTTTCAATGTTGTTGAAAGAAGGAAGAGTGTCCTATAGGTTGAATCAAATTGATCCGCAAATATTGTCTCACATCATCGATGGACAGATGACATCTCAAGCAAGCCCTAAAACCAGCTTAGTTACAAGGACATCAATTAAATCTTAAAGAATTCTGAGTTCACAATACCAGAACAGGTCTCATCTCATGTATAATCAGAAGATCTGGGGTTGCTGGCAGTTTGTGGATATATCCCCCTGTCCCCAAGCTCTTAAAAACATCACTCTCAAATTATAATATTTAATTCTACCATTAGGGGATTAGCAATATTTGAAGAGTAACCACACATGCACACTATGTTTAATTATTTCTAATTTATTAAAATAAAATAGACTGTCCATGTGACAATTCTTCAAAGCACAGAATTTGCTAAGATCACAACCTACCTAAATCAGCCAATGTTATTTTTTTTTTAAAACTCAGCCTAATCAGATAGGGATAAGAATCACCAGGAAGATGCTTATTTAATCATGAATTGGTCCCTTTTATTTATTTATTTTTCTCCTTAGAAGTTGCTCCCTTGCCTTAGAAATGCTCCTATTGGATGAATGTGCTTTTTCTTCCTGTGGAAGTCAGTGGAAGAGAACAAAGACCAGGTCATTGAGGGTTCTAGGAAATTGCTTTATAAATATAGGTAGTCCTTGTTCTGTCTTTAATTGTTGGCTGAATATAAAGACGGACAGGCCAAACTCTACAAAGGCTTCCATACAAAGTTTCTTTATTGAAATCACAAGGTATCCTCAAGGTATAACTCACAGTTATGTCGAGATTCATCTTAATGTCCAACTCTTTGCACAGATGACTTCATAGTGTAAAAGGATAGTGATCTTTCATCCCATAACGCTGGAGCAAAGGGTGAGACACCAGCATACTGCTGGAGTCCAAGCAGAAGTAAAGGAAATCCCCCAACCCAACCAAGGGTCAATTCAATGCCCAATCAGGATTACAGATGTGACCACATGACATGAACTACATTTCCCATGATGCATTAACTACATTTACCATGAGGCATTCCCTTAAGGGGACAGCTCCCAATTCTAACTTAACTATCTCAATTCCCAATTACCTATACACTGTCTGGGCAGCACAGTCCTCACTTAATGTCCCTAATTGGAACCAGCAACTCTGTCAGCACGTGAAGTTGTAATGCAAAACATCATGAGAACTCCTGGCTTAGTGATTGTGGTCATTAACTGTGGTTCTTAAGTGAGACATCATGTGACTAACTTCTGGCCCCTTGCCAGTTTCTCCATTGACTTTACTTATCAGAAGCCGGCTGGGAAAGTCACAAATGGCAATCACATGACCTTGGGATGTCATAATCATTGCAAATGTGTGATGGTTGCCAAACACCTGAATCATGATCTCATAACTACATGGATTCTGCATGGTCATAAATGCAAGGATTGGTCACAAGCCAATTTTATAAGGACTGCTATAGTTTTGAACAATTGCTAAATAAAAGGTTGTTAAGTGAGGGCTGCCTATATAATCAAAGATAAGATGCCCTGTGTCTGACTTAGCTAAGTTTTATTTAAAGAAGCCGTGCTTTGTTTTATTTTAGCTGCATATGGCTATTTCTAGGTCCTCTGTAGTAGATGTATTAATGCAGTATTTCTTAACCTCTGCAACTTTAAGATGTGTGGACTTCAACTCCCAGAATCTCCTATGGTGACTGGGGAATTCTGGGAACTGAAGTCCACACATTTGAAATTGAGGAACACTACTTTAATTAATGGTTCTCACTGGTTCTGAGAAAAGTATTTTTTTAAACCCCCTTGGAAAGAGGTTTTGTGTAACACCACAATATTTAAGTGTATATATGAATAGATGTACAAACACATCCGGTTCTGCCCGGCTCTGTAAAACCGGTCGCTCTGAAGAGCAGCAGACATAGAACCGGTTCTGTGCTGCTGCTGTTTGGCCCACCTGCTCACCTGGGCTCTTACCTGACCTTTATTTCCTGCTTTTTCAACCTCAGCTGCTTTGCGCGGCACTGCTGAGGGTGAAAAAGCAGTAAAAAAAGTGCTTTTTGAAACACTGCACACCTGTGTGCAGTGTTTATCAGTTTATGTCATTTCTTTCCTGGAACAAAAAGAAATATCTGCACTTCTCTTGGTGTTCTCTCCTGAGATTAGGACTGCCATTAATGACAGATTTATTGATTTATTGTCAAAGGATGAAAGCTAGAGCAAACTACATCAAATGGGAAGAACATCTGGAAGCCTCACCAGAAGTTCGGCTTCAGCACTTGGCTGATGGATGCTATTTTAAGCCCTCCCAAAACAGTGCTATGAAAGACAAAAGTGTTACTCCTGGGGGAATTTCACTAGTGTCAATTCTTACTGACATGATACCTCAATCAATCTTCCCCTTACATTGTGAAAGTGGTGATGGCTAGATGTGAGGATATGGAGTTCAAAGTTCTCAAAAGATAAATTTCAGCCATGTTTAAATCCAGCCCCCAAAAAGAATGGCCATTCTTTGACATTTTGACAACTCGACTGACAGATAACTGTTTTACTACAGACTGCCAACTTCAATGCCCTCCTAGTTTAATGCAGCAGAGAAAATAGAACTCAGTAACAGAGAGTTCTGGAATTAATTTACTTACAGTATACGTCTACCCTTATTGACTTGATTGCTGGTGAGCCCAAGCCGTTTTCAGCTTTGCAATAGTAGCGCCCTCCTTGATGTCGCTGTATGTTTGTGATCCTCAGGGTCTCATTAAAAACACTTGAATCTTGAAACCGGTCAGAGGCACTTCCTGCTGTTTTTGTCCACCTGATCTGAGCAAGCATCAAAAAAGAATGTTACTTTAGTTGGCCCTTCTCTTCTTTTTGTCACCAAGAAACATGACACAGTAGCACACACAACATTGCATTTAGAGAATATCAGGTATTCAAGTAGCAGACATGGAATTATTTTACTAAGATACACAAAAAGAAAGCTATGTATGACTAACTCAATGTAATTCCATCAAATATGGGCTAATTATGAACAAATTTAGACTTGAGAAGAAATAAAAACTCAGTTTGTTTTTTAGGATGTCTAATATCATTCGTTTTGTTATTTACTGTTTTGAATTTAACAGCAATGCATGGTCTAAAAACATTCAGAAGAACTAAGTTTTCTAGAATCAACGTAACACTAATTAAATGTATTTCATTAGTTACCAAATTTTATGGGATTTCCCTGTTTACATAGAACTAAAGTGAGTCTTTTATTGGGGAAAAAATGTGCATTAGGAAAACAGGATCCAAACTTTTTCATTATAAATAAAATTGCAGATTTTTCTGTGGCTAAAAAAAATAACACATTTAAAATTGAATAGAAAAATACATAAAATTGGCAGGGTTCACATGGCAAGGATTTAGATTGGTCTGCTTATCAGCTTCTTAGGCACAAAAGAGATTTCATACAGTATCTGTAAAACTTCGTGGTTTCGGCAATTATTGAACACATGGGATTATATACTAACTCTCAAAGTTTACAATATCATAGTTTTCTAAAATGATGAATTTGTGTGATTCCGCATTAAAGAGTAAAACCAAATAACAAATAAATGACACAGCAATGAGAGTAAGATTTTGACAAAGAGCTAGACCCATAGGCTTAACTATCTCTCAAAACTCACTCCAGGGTTTGCTCCCCGTTGTAGACTTATGTGATGTGAGCTTTAGTTACACTCCTATCTTGTGTTTAAAAGAATGCATTACCTTCTGGATTCTAAGATGCTCACACACCAGTAGTGGGATTCAACATTTTTTACTATCGGTTCTGTGGGCATGGCTTGGTAGACATGGTAGGGGAAGGATACTGTAAAATCTCCAGTCAGATGTGGTATTTGGCGGTTCTCTGAACTACTCAAAATTTCCACTACCAGTTCTCCAGAACTAATCAGAACCTGCTGAATACCACCTCTGCCACGAACCCTCACAAATGATTGTAACCACAATTCTAACCTATCCTCAGGAATAGCAGTGCCTTCCAGGAAATGGAATCATTTTAAACCTTTCTCTTTTAGAAACATGTCAGTGTGATGACCCAGGCTGGGATACAAAACAAACACAGTCACAAAAACCTGGTGAAGCCCCTTTTATTCCTTCACTTTGCTTCCAAGCTCCAAATATCCTTGATGGAAGACAAAACCTCCTACACAAACAGTTACAAGAAGGAGGAAAAAAGCAACACAAACCAGGCAAGATAAGAGCTGGAGAACATCTGCAGATAACAGAACACACACTGGGAAAGATGCCAAACTCAGAGAGGAACAGTAGAGATACTTCCACGCTTTATTTCCAGTGTTTGCCTGTATGCATGTCCATCCTCTTATTCAGTTGTCACAGGTGCAGCCCATGAAGAGGATGAAGGCCCTCTCCTCCCGAGTACACCATGTATCTCCCTTATCCTGTCCTCCCTGCATGCCCTAGGATGGAGAGGGGGTGGGCCTGGGTCTTCCTCTGACTGCCCAGCCAGCCTCTACCCTTCCCCAGCCTCCTCCACAACTTCCGGAGCCACACTTCCACTCCCTGTGGCTGTTTCTCCTCTCCCTCAGAGTCAGTCTCCACCAGTGGCATGACAGTCAGCTTTGCAACAATGTTTACGACCACAGACAATCTAATAAAAATTACCACCATGAGAAACATTACATCAAATATTTTGTATTATTTGTAACTTCATAAGAGACTTGCACAAAGCAAAGTTAGTCAAGCTGCGGTTGGTATACCCTATCTTGGTAACTCTCACTAAAAGAAACTCAGTTGTCAAATTCTTAGTCCTTCGTAAACCAGATAGATGGGTTCTGCCAAATAATTCAGCATATATGTGATACAGCCAGCCTTAGAAGAGGGATTTCCCTCCCCCATCCATATTTTAGATTGTCAGCATTTTCTATTATTAAACTTCTTGTCATAAACAGTTTTAAATCATTTGAACAAGGAATGTCCTGTCGGATAAATGCTTAATACAATATTGGAAGGTTTGTGTTTTTTTCCTCGGTTACTCGACTTCTCCTTTGTGCATGTCCTACTAAATGCATGAATGGCAACTACAACGTGGAATAACCACTGAGGTTTAGAGTTTAGCAGGTTAAAAATTGTGAAATTATTCAATAAGGCATTTCATTAGGATTTTTTAGAAATCCAATTTGTAAATGGAAGGGAATCCAGGTTGGTGATTTACCTGGATTCTTAAGTTTTGGATGACATAAAATGGAGTTTGTGCAGAAGAGATTGGTTCACTTATACAGTGATTCTACACCATCTATCACAAATGGCCAGGCATGATGAGTGTTCTGACCAAGGCTTCCCGAGATGGTAATTAAGCACATGCTTAGTTAAAACAACTCTTGTTTTATTTCAACGCTGGGAATTATTTTCATTCCTAACCGGTAATGAGTCTGAAACAGTCCCTTCAAGATAAGCATCCACCTTTCTTTCCTTTGAATTGCTGCCAACAACTAGGGTGCCCAATGAATTATTAAAAAAACAAACGAAATACAAAGTCCACACAGAGCTTCAAGGATTAATCCAAACAGAATGAACGACTTTGCTTTCTACAAAGGTTTCTTCACCTTTGCCTGTCCTTTATACTTTATGGGAAGGGAAATCACCTCCAAGCCTTACTCCCGAGTCACCCCTTTTGTCTCAGCTGCTCTTGCCTTCTAGCAGTTCTGCACACACGTGCACTGGGAACAGGCTCCCCCTGTTCCTCTGCCTTGCTGCTGCAAGACTCTGGAGGCTCTGGAGTCAGCACACCACTCCCAGATGGTCCTAGCCCCATCTCTGCATCGGACGCAGGACCCTCATCCAAGTCCTCTCCAGACTTCCAGACTGGTCCCCATTCTTCCTCACTATCCAATTCTGCTGCCGTCTCACAGGTTGTTGGAGAACCACAACAATGAGTTTGGCCTACAGTGATTTAATTTGTAGCCTCCAGAATGCCACTGGTGGATGATTATTATTCAGCAGATACTTTGGAGAGATTTTGAAAGGCACAGCCAAAATTTTAGAGGAGTCATAAGGAGTTCTAGATATTATTTCCAGTCCTCTTATAAAGCAGAAGTATCTTCACTTGTTTATGTTTTCCCCACTAAAAGTGCAAGGATTTGATTCATTTTATTTACATTATTTCATTATATGCCATTTTATCAGCACTGATGTGTAGTGACCTCATGGGTAGACCTTCTCCAGGATGATCTATCACCAACCTGGCCCCTCAGGTTACCTGCTGGTGCACTCATAACTGCTGTAATAATCCATCCACTCAGCTGCTAGTTATCCTCTTCTCTTTTGTTCTGTGTTTCCCAGCATTACAAGACATCTCAAGAGAACCAGGTATTTGCAAAATATGTCTAAAATAACATAATTTGAACCTAGTCATTTTGCTATTAGTGAGAACTATGAATTGATTTGTCCTATCATCCAACCTTTTTTAAATTTTCATTGCTACATATGGCATTAGTAGTCGTCTTCAACAATTTAACTGCATCAGTATATTTTTTCTACCCAGTTTCTACAGATTCCAACTTCTTTCACAGAGTGTTGAAGGAAAATAATTACCTATATGATTTTGCAAATCAAAACATGTCCTGATATTTGAATATATATTTTAAGATGTTCATATTTATTATATCAAGTGCTACTCAGTGGCATGTATTTATAGAATGCTGATTCTTTTCCTATGGATAGTCAATCCTAAAAGGTAAAACTATTCACCAATAACTCCTTAGCAGTTCTAAAGCAGGTTCCTCTATCTGGAATGAATATATAAATTATAATTCTGTTACCACTATGTTTCTACTTCTTCAGAGTTAAACTTTTGCTTCCAGAGAGTCTAACAGGAAATGGCATTACTTGCAATATTCTGATCTTTGTAAGTAAGACACATCAGAATTGACTGATTCCCACCCGCAAGCCCTCCATGCCTGCTCTACCAAGCACTAGTCTGTTGTGTATTTTTTGTCTGCTTGTCCCTTTAATACTGATGGTGACCATTTGAATATCTTCATTATCAGTTCTAAAGCTCTTTGTTCTATTTGTTGTCATTAGTTTGGTCTTTTTTTCATATTTAAGTTTAGTACTATTTTCCCACTATTCTCCTTGATTTTTATTAGCAGACCTTACATATCCTTTGCATTTTCACCTATTGGAATAGTGTCATCAGCGTGTCATAGGTTATTGATATTTCTTCCTCAGTTTTAGAACCACAATGTCTTCTTCCAATCCAGGTTCCCTTAATTCAACATACAGATAGTCATTGACTTACAACCATCAATGGTTGTATGTTGTATGTAATGATGTTCAAAGTGACAATCGACCTCCCCAGAGCTATTAATGAACTGTTTTAGAAGTTACAATGGTTGTACACATATGCTGCCCTGTAGTTACATAATTAAATTTTGACATGTAGCAGTCAGTTCATCTTCACTATTGCTTGCAGTGTCCTGTGGTCATGTGATTGCATTTTTTGCTGATTTATGATAAAAAAGGGGGGGAAATGGAGTTGCTTAATGACTCTGATATTCAGTTAATGACTGTGTTCATTTAACAACAATAGTAAAAACAAAATAGCCATAGCTTCAAATTTGGTTATGTGATATCATGACTTGTTACTGCAAAAACTTATGATTGTAAGTTGTGCTGTCCCACTCATGCACACGCATGTGTACACATACTCATGTACCATGGGTGTAAGGAGTCTTTATTAAGGCTTCCGACGAGCCTAAATTGGTATTCCCCAGCAATTCCCTGTGCCGGCACCAACTCAACCCCAATGAGTTCCACAG